GCCCCGTCCGCGCCCGCCTCGTCCGCCTCCCCCCGCTCCGCCGCCAGCGCCGCCCTGGGACCCAAAGTCGCCCGCGCCCCCTTCGCCACCGAAACCAGAGGAAGATGCCACCGCGGCTGCAGCGTTCGACGGCGATGCTCGGTCGTAGCGCTCCTTGATCTCGCTCGAGATATTGTCAAAGAACCCCTTCTTGTCGTAGAAGCTCTTGCCGTCGCCCGACGATAGCGGCGGCGGAATGGCATCTAGCAGGCCCCCTCCGCCCCCGTTGGCGCCGTTGGCCTGCCTCGCCGCCCCACCGTCCGGCTGGCCCTCGGCGCCCGGCGAAGCGACGCCCGGCTTCTTGAACTTGGCGTTGGCGCTCTCGAAGTCGAAATCCTTGTTCGGCACCGACACAGGGCCGGCCACGTCCTGGAGGTGGCCGTGGTGGATGTGGCCGCCACCGTTGTTCTGGTTGCGGCGCGGGCGCGGGCCTCGACGTTCCGGAGGTGAAGCAGCGGCAGCGGCTGCGGCGGCCGCATGGGGGATGGCGGGCAGCTGCGCCGAGGCAGGCAGCCGCGTAGTGCTCAGAGGGGCGGCCGGCTTGCTCACGCTCAGCTTCGACATCTCCTCGAGCACCTTGTCGGCTGAAGCCGAGGCCTGCGCGGGAGCGGCAGCCGAGGGCGACTTCTGCGTCGAGGTTTGACCGTTGGTGGCGCCAGCGGCCGCAGGGCTCGCGCTCTTCCTGGCAGCGTCCTTTGTCGCCGTGGCAGCAGGAGCAGCAGCAAGAGCAGCAGCGGGAGCCGCTGCAGGGGCAGGCGCAGGAGAGACTGCAGCTGCGGCAGCGGGCGGCTGGGCTGCCGCGTGCGGCGGCTGACCCGAAGGAGGGCCGCGGGCACCGGGCGCTGGCGGAGGTGGTCCTCCGAAGACGGGGCCAGGACCGCCGCCAAAGTGAGCTCCGGGGGCACCGGGGCCAGGGTAGCCACCGGGGCCGGGTCCGTAGGGTCCGGCAGGAGGAGGAGGAGGCATGCCGTACATGCCGGGTCCACCGTAGGGCCCGCCCATGGGACCGCCCGGGCCGCCAAAGCCACCTTGCGGGGCGGCACTCGACTACAGCAGCAGAAGGGCGCAAAAAGACGGCAGGAGTCGAAGGGAAAGATGTGGGAGCGTCAGCACGCTTGCGCGTCGGCGAGAACCGAGGAGCGGCGTCGCCCGCCTTTGTGCCTTTGCCCGATCGCCTTCGCCTCTGCCTTTGCCCTGCCCCGCCTTGGCGTCGGCAGGACCGCTGGCCCAGCGACGGCGGAATCAGAAGGAAGGCAACGGAAGCATCCACATGGGGTTATGCGCTCTCGGACAAGCTAGCCCCGTAGGGCATTTTACATCCGTAAATGGTTCATCATGCGTCGCCCGTCGATTGGGTCAAGGCGGCGACGGCGGCAGGCAGGGCAGGGCGGGGCGGAACCAAGGCGAGGCGAGGCGAGGCGAGCCGGCGCGGGGCTCTGAAGAAGCTGTAGGGCTACTCACATTGAGGATGGCGGGGTCGTTGAGGGCGGGCTGCGGCGGGGTGGGGTCAGGCCGCGTCGGGTTGGGGTCGTCGATCTTGAGGTCCTTGACGTCGGCGGCGCGGAACATGATGTAGTCGTAGACGTGGTCGCTGGCCGGGATCTCCTCCTGCGGGCGTCCGAGCGCCGTGAGTCGACCTTCCGTGCCCCAGGATCGGACTGTTGGGGAGGCAAGGGGAGGGGAGGGGTCGGGTCAGGTTCAGGCGAGAGTCGAGGAGCCGAGCATGGTCAGCCAGGTCTGCGAGCGGCGCTGCGAATCCACCTGAACTCGAGACGAGCGGAACGGAGACTCACCCTTTTCGAGAGCGACGGTGGCCTGCTCGGGATTGATCGAGGCGAGGAAGCCCTGGTAGCGGATGTCGGACTTGGAGATGAGCGAGATCAGAGCTCCGATAAAGTCGGCGGTGCCGCCGCCTCCTCCTGCAGCTGCCATGGTGGGCGAGGGTCGGGTGCGGAGTGGGTCTGTCGACGAGAGAGAGAGAAGAGAGGAGAGTCCAAGCGTGGATGAAGGAGGTTGGAGGCCGGGCAAGCGGAGCAGCGTATCGAGATGCCGAGCTTGGCCTGGATCCGGCGAGAGCGGTCGTCCAAGGCGGGTTGGTCAGAGGATGGGAACAGGCGAAGGGTAGGGGAGGCGTTGCTAGGTATACAGTGGCCGCGCCGATCGAGACACGGGTGAGGTCGAGTTCGTCGATGCGCGAAGCGAGATCAAGTGAGGGCCAGGAGGGAGAGGGGAGAGCGAACAGTGTATGTCGGCCGTGCTGAAGAGCGTAAGGATGAGGGTAGGGTCGTCGAGCGGAGCAGACGGAGAGTGGAGGCGGGAAGTGTATGCCGAGAACGAAGAGGCGTGTGACGGGTGACGGAGAGGGTAGGAGGTCGAGGGAGGAGAGAGCACGAAACGAGGCGGATGAAGGGGGATGATGGTGGTGGTGGTGGGGGTGGTGGTGGTGGGGGGTGACGATGGTCGATGCGAGACGGGCAGCCAGCCTGGAGACGACGTGAGCGCTCGCCCGCATCCAGCAGGATCGGCAGACGACGTGGCCTGGCTGGCTGGCTGGCTGGCTGGCTGGCTGGCTGGCTGGCCCCTCCGCCTCTCCGTCGCCCGCACGCTGCCCCCCCCCCCCTCCATCCAGCCTGGGGCGTGTGATCAAGGCGGGCGAGCGGGCAGCGCCAGCCGGGCGAGCCATCTGGTTGGCCCCAACAAGCGCCGCTCATCGCTCGGCCTGGGCCTGCACGTACGCCCTTCCAGCCGCTTCGACGCGGCTAGGCTAGGCGATGCCGCGCCCCGATCTTCTCTCGCACGAGAAATTTCCACAGCCAGGCGTCCTCAGCCGTCCGACCCCTGCAAGGTGGCTGGTTCGCCGTGGCCAGAGCCAAAGACTGCCGGGCGATCGCAGGGGCAGCAGACGTGCGACCGCAAGTAGGATGAGATGCAATCCAGCGATGGGATTGCTGGTAGACGAAGGAACACCACGGTACGGCAATTGCGCACGAGGGCCAGGCCGAGACCAAGAGCGAGTCTACAGGTAGCCCCACCACGCCGTGGTCCGCATGCTCCGACGAGCGGCAGGCAGGCAAGCGCAGGAGTGATGGGGTTCGAGCAAGAAAGCAGGACGAGGTGAGGCAATGCGGTGCGATGCGTCCTCGATGTCGGTGTCGACCTGACGTCGAGCGCGGCAAGTTTGTTGGCCTGCGAGACGACCGTCAGTCCGAGCTGTAGAAGCCTCCAAAGCCGCCTAGATTGAGCTGCGTGCCGTCATACTGCCCGACGAACTCTGCATCCGCGGGCAGGATGTAGGAGCAGTCGGAAGAGTCAGGGGGGTCGTGCAGCGAGACTCGCTGGCGTCAGCATCAGGTAGCACTCTGAGCCCCGCGGGCCCGCCACGAGAAAATCGATCGCTGTCCGCACCGACACTCACCTGCAAGCGCATCGGCCGTCTTCTGGTGGTCCTCGCCCCAGTCGCTCGCCCATCCGCTTTGGCTCATGAACGGCGTCAAGGAGCCTTGCTGCTGCTGCTGCTGCTGCTGCTGCTCCAGACGTTGCTGCTGTGGCTGCTGCGCCGAGGCGGACGCATCGGGGGCCATTGCGGCTACTGCAGCTAGCGCCGAGGGCGAGCTCCTCGGAGCCGCAGCCGCGACCGCTGCGAGCGAGTCCGACGCACCGGGAGCGTAGCTTGTGTACGACGGCGAGGCGTCGGACGGGGCGCGGCGCGCCGCCTGGGCATCGCCGCTGACATCGTCGGCCGCTTCGTCGGCGACGTCCATCTTGGTGTCGGCTCCTCTTTCCGCCTCCACGCGCGACACCTGGTCGTAGAGATAGTCGAGGCTGTAGGGAGAGCCCAGAAGTTCTCGCGGGTCCCAGAAGCCATTCTGCCGCAGCGCGTGCTGCACCGGCCCATCGAGCGGGTTCGACGGGGTCCACGTCACCTGGCCTTCAGGAGTGTCGGCAAACAGCCGCCGGGTCTCTTCGGGCAGGTCGCCGAACTCGCCGTCGCCGTTCTGGGCGGCCACGATGCCAACGAGGTCGCTGCCAACCGAGGTCGGCCCGGCTCCGCTGGCAGCGTCAGCAGCCACCAGGGATGCTGGTGCACCGCCCTGCTGCTGCGACGAGGGTGCAGCCGCTGCCGGCGGTCGACTGGCGGCCGCCATACCGGCGGCGAATGCTGCGTTGCGCAGCTCGTTGAGCAGATTGGGGTCGACTCCGCCGAGGAGGTGGCTCTCGCGCGCCATGTCGAGCGTGGCCGCCTGCGGGCCGCTGAGCATCTTTTGGATCTTGAGGTAGTCTTGCGCGCTGACGCGAGCGGCCACGAGACCGGCGAGGTGGTTGAAGAGCTCGAGCGGCGCCATGCGGCTCGGATGGACTGCGACGCCAGACGACGTGGGGCCTCCCGCTGTGTCCGCCGCTGCACCGCTGGCCACGGCGTCGCCGGCGCGATTGCGCTTCCTCGACCGCAGCGGGTCGTCGGCGGTGCTGTCCTTGAACAGGTCGGGGAACTCGAGCCCCTCGCCCGCCGACGGATCCTCGTCGCGCAGCGCGCCCGGCCCGTCGACGCCGCGGAGGAACGGCGACTCCTCGCGCGGCGGTGCCGGGATCGACTTGTCAAACACGTCCATCGGCGTCTCGACCTTGCGGATCTCCTCGGGCACGCAGCTGGCCCAGCTTTTGATCTTGTGAAACACGCGCTGCTGCTCGTTGTACCGGTTCTCGGTGATGTAGATCGGGCTGCGCGGGTCCCAGTAATCGGCCTTGGGCCGCCCGCGCATAAACTTGGTGTAGAACATGACGAGCACCTTTTCCAGCACGTCCTCGATCTGGTGGTCGGCAAAGTAGCCCGTCTTGGCCACCTCGTCGCGGAAAAAGCGCCGGCTGGGCGGGTGGAAGGTCTGCTCCGGTCGGAAGTACCAGCAGACGGTGATGTAGCCCTGGTCGGGCTGGTCGTCGCGCCGCGCCACCTTGAAGATCTGGGCCACGATCGGCTTGGTCGGGTCCGACGGGTTCATGAGGTGGACCCAGTCGCCGACGCGGTACGCCTTGCCCTTGAAGTTGAGATGCTCGTAGTAGGTCTTCATCTTGCCGCTGATCCGCGTCGTCAGGTCGCCCTCGGAGCCCAGGCTGGCGAAGCCGGGGCCATACGGCCGCGAGGCAAAGTGGCGCTCTGGGTCGGCATCGCGCGCCGCCTCCTGGATGTCGGCCACCGAGGTGCGCCGCCGGCTGGGGGCCCATGACGGCCGCGCCTTGGTGAGGTGGTGGTAGAGGCGCTGCAGCGTCACGACGTCGCCGTACGTCTGCGAGCCGATCGGGTGCAGCCTCCGCCCGTTTTCAAACAGCTGCAGCATGTCCAGCTCGAACGCCAGCGCGTTCGGGTAGTCGCGGTCCCTGATCCGCTGCTCGATGGCCGCGAGCGAGGTCGGCCGCTCGATCTGCGCAGGGAAGATCGAGGGCGAGGTGCAGGCGGGGGGATGACGGACAGGGGGCCAGAGGGCAGAGCAGCGATGCGGGTCAGTCGGTGGTCTTGATGCGCGCTCGTAAGTCTCAACAGCCCGGGCCGCACGGTCGGCACTCACCTTCTCGTAGTACTCCGGATCCGACTCTGGATCAGGGCAGTCCTGTAGCGGCTCCGCGACCCGCCTCCCAGCCTTGTCGATGTGGTTACGCACCACCTCGAAGATGGCGGCGTAAACGTCATGCGCCTGCTCGACGTCGGCGCCCTCGGGCATCCACCCAAGGTCGCCCTCTTCGGGCACCTTGAGCTCCGGCTCGCTCGTCTCGGTCCGCTCGCTCCTTCTGCGCGCACGCGTGCGGCTGGCGGGCGAGGCGCCCGCGTTGCCGACGGCTTGCCCGAGGCCCGCTCCAATGCTGCCGCCTGCCGGTGTCATGATCGTCCCTCCACCCTCGACAGACGTCGCTCCGGCGACCCCCGGGCCGGTACCCGCCACCATTGCACCGCCAGAGCCATGGGCCGAGCCGGCCTCGCTCGAGGTCCGGGACGGCGTCATGGGCAGCGAAAGGTTCTGCTGCATCGCCTGGTTCTGCTGTGCTTGCATCTCCTGCTGCTGCCGGTGGCCGGGAAAGGCTGGGAACGGCGGCAGCTGGACGGGCAGCTGGGGCGATTGGAGCTGCTGCGGTTGATGTGGGGGCTGCGGCTGTTGCGGCTGCTGCGGTGGAGGCTGCTGCTGTGGTAGCGTGGGGTACTGTTGTTGCTGCTGGACCCTTTGCTGCTGCTGCTGCTGCTGCTGTTGCTGCAACTGGAGCTGCTGCTGCTGCTGCTGTTGGAGCTGTTGCTGCTGCTGCTGCTGGTATGCGTAGTGGGGCGGTAATGCCTGCTGCTGCTGCTGCTGCTGCTGCTGCTGCTGCTGCTGGTAGGCATATGCCTGTGGATTGAGCTGGTGCGGGTACGTACTCCCTGGGCCCGACGGCGGTGGCGGTGGCTGCATGGGGAAGTAGGTGCCAGGATGCACCGGAGCGTACATCAGGCCGCGATCGGGCGAGGAGACGACGTGGGCGTGCAGGTACTGCGGTTGCGGGTGCTGCTGCTGCTGAGGCGGCGGGTGGTAGGGCGAGGTGGAGCCGTTCTGGTAGGGGTCGCTCGGTGGCCGCAGCCGGGGCGACGACGCCTGCTGGGCCAGCCTGGATATCCGCTGCGGCGTGTGCGGCATGGGTCGCTGGGGGGTCGATGTCCGCTCGCGCTGCTGGCGATCTCGCAGCTGCTGCTGTTGCTGGCGCTGGAGCTGTTCGATCTGGTCGGGCGAGATGCCGAGCTCGAGCGCCCGCTGCACGGCCTCCATCCGCTCGCGCTCGCGCTGCGCAATGAGCTCCTTGTTCTTGGGCGGGCGACCACGACCACGCCGCAGGGGTGTCAGGGCGGCCAAGGCAGCTGCAGACAGCTGGGGCGACGAGTTGCGACCCGAGGATGACTGTTGTGCCGGCTGGTGCGATGGCTGCTGTTGGTGGTACATCTGAGGGAGCGGCCGCGAGGACGACGAGGGCGTGGGTGGCTGCGACATGGCCACGACTGCCCGCGGGAGCTGGACGGCGTGGTGGCGCGTCCGGATCGAGGCTAGGGTGTGGCAGAGTGTGCGTGGGGAGCTTGTGCCTGCAGACTCAAGATTGGGCTGGCTGTCGTGCAGAGGAAAGCTAAACACCGGATGCCGAGATAAGGTGGTGCTGCAGGCAGGCCGGCAGTCGGACGGGCGGGCGGCGTCGGTCGAGCAGGGTTGAGCTCGAAGCAGAGCAGCAAGAAGGCGATGACCGTGTGGACCTGCAGTCCAAGGGATCGTTGATGTTGGGCAGAGAGAGCGGGTTGCCTAGGTAGGGAGATGAGAGAAGAAGGAGCGATCCGGAAAAGACGACGCGCCCTTGCCCAGCTCTCCCTGCGATGTGACCACGGGAGCTGCAGAAGAGAGGGCAAGGGCAGAGAGAATGGGTCGTCGAGGTAGGCTGGATCGCAAGCGCCGTTCGGTCTTACCCGCTGGCCGTGCAGTGCAGGTGCGCCGAGGCCGAAGGCTGTCGAGGAGAGGAGCAGCGGCTCTGGCCGGGGCGAGTGTGGCAAAGGCGTGGTACGAGACGGCACGGCGTCCTTTCGAGTGGGACTGCTGGATGGACGCCAGCGGTGCGCTTCCCGATGGCAGACCAAGGCTGGACTATGTCTCTGCGGGATCCGGATGGCGCGAGGTGGCGGTGGCGACAGTGGTGGCGGATGGCGCGCTGTCGACGTTGTTGTCGAAGTCGATAAGGCCGACGGAGGTGGCGGGCGTCGGCGATGGCGAGAACTGCGAGCGAGGCGGAGGGCTTGACGATGGTCGGATGGGCGAGTGCGAGGCGGCGAGAGAGAGAGAGAGAGAGAGAGAAAGAGAGAGAGACGCCGGGAGAGGATAGAGTGGGGCACGAGGAGGACGACGAGGGGGCCGACGAGGCTGGTGGAGCCAATGGTTGGCTGCAGGTGGCGGCAGCCAAGCGTCGGTCGGGTCGGGCCTCGGGCGGCTGTCGACAGCGTGGACCCAGGCCAGGGTTTCCCCTCGCGGCGCCCGCCGCCAGCCAGCCTGACCCTCTCGCGCCCGCCTCAGCCAAGCAAATCCAGGACGCGGCCTGGCCTGGCCTCGCCTGCCTTTGCCTGGCCTCTCGGTCCTGCCTGCCCCTTGGGCGCGTGCCGTCCCTCTGCCACGACACGCACTCACTCGCTCGCTCAAACGTCCGGCCTGGCTGGCCCGCCCACCAAGCCGGGCCTGGCGGCGCGCTGCTTGCTCTTGCTCAGCAGCCCCACTCGTCTCCCCCCGCGCATCGCCCGCCTCGCCACCCATTATGGCAGGCGACACCGGACCCGCGTCCTTCGACACCGGCCGCAGTCGCGGACCACNCGCCCTCTCGAGTATCGCCGCCGCCCACTGGTTCCGACCGAGGTACTTAGGCCGCCTTAGTAACTTACCGTTNTAATTAGTTGT